GTGTGTGTCCCGGTCCGTGAAACATTAAACAGCAGCACATTTGAACATTTGAGGAACGTATGGTATCATCAGGTATGTCAAAAGATCTTTTGTCAAAAGGTATAGTGCTAAGATAAAAGTTTTCCTAGCCAATTTTGCCTACTTTGAAAAGTCTTTTTTTTTTTTTTTTAAAGGAAGGTAACATTTAAACGTTTTTTTATGCTTTAAAAGCAAAATGTTTTAATCCTTTTTTATATTAAAATATTCCAGCATAACTCAGATTGTTTGATCTATGCTTTTCCTATTCTTGTGAATCTTACTACAAGGTGATGGACTAATCGTCCGTTCAAAGAATCGAAATCATTAACATGCGGATGTCAGGGAAGCATGGCGTTTGACGTTTAAAACTAAAGAAACGCACGCACTGTAGATCTCACGTTGTGTTTGTTATGGCTTCTCTCTGTCTCTCTTGATTTGGTCTGTTTGACTGAGGGAACACTCAATAAATAAATAGGCTATCGTATTGTGTATGTGTGTGTGTGTGTGTGTGTGTGTGTGTGTGTGTGTGTGTGTGTGTGTGTGTGTGTGTGTGTGTGTGAGAGAGAGAGAGAGAGAGAGAGAGAGAGAGAGAGAGAGAGAGAGAGAGAGAGAGAGATGAGAGAGAAAGAGAAAAAGGGGGGGGGGGGGGAGGTGCAAGCATTTACATGGTATATTACTGACACTACGTAGACCCTATAACATCTACCTCTACGAAAAAAAAACCCAACCTCGCCCTCTCGCTACATCGTACTTTGTAGGCTACTTGTGTTGCTTTATTCGGGAGTGCAGTAAAACTATCGTTTTTAGTTTTAGCCATGTTTTTTAATTTTTAAATTCCCAATGCATACTGTTCGTTATAAACTAACTTTAGTCAATGTTGGCTCCACGGTATATCGATATGAAAAAAAGGTTTGAATTAGAAATTTTACACCTTGTACATGTAACTAACCCAAAGGAGCGAAAAAAAGGGGGGGGGGGGGCTTAAAATTGTGGTCTAGAGATACGGTGTTCGCCCTTCATTCAACAGGTCACGGTTCAAAACTTTACAGCGACGGAAAATTTTGTTTAAAACTTCCTCTTTTTATTTCACCTCCTTTCCTGTTCTTTAACCATGTCCTGTCGTCTGCTTTCATTCCATTTTCAGCCCCCCCCCCTTTGCCCCTCCTCTGGGCTTCTGACTTGTTCTGAAGGCTACTGCTACTCCTTGTCTTTCAGCCACACCCCTAATCTTTGGGTAGGTATAAAATCTAACTCTACTAACAACACCTAGCTTTCTCTCGCAAGAGGGCAAAAAATCTCGGATGTCCCATGAGCAAGTTGCGCACATTAAAGAGCTCCTGGTGGTCCTAGAATCGATAAGAGTTGGCTTCGGCCGCCACCAGGGCAAAATTCAAAATTAATTCCTACCAAACTGAAAAATAATTAAATGTTCAATGTGTCCCGTGCGCTGTTGTGGTATGATTTTATTCTTATGCAGTTAAAACGAACACCGTAAAACACTTTCCGGAAAAAAAAGAGAGCGACCTGTTCAAGGGAAGAATAAACCTTCGAATTAACACCGTCACCACAACCCATGCTCCAGAAGTTTCAGTCTCCGGAGATTTAGAGTGACCCAAGCGCTCTGTGTGGGTTTTGCAAAAACATTTGGGGGGTGGAGGGGGATTCCCTTTTGTTGTCTGATTTTGATAGGAGAAGATGAAAACAGCCCTATGTTTTTGTTATATTATCCAAATGTCCCCAGTGAAAGTTGTTATGGCGGTCGTTACACACTCTCAGTGTCTGATATCATATAGTATAGTCTAATATGTAGGCGATTTTTGAGAAAGTGTAGTTGTAAAGCGCACAGAGCATGCTCTTGAGCATGGATATGCGCTATATAAATACAAAAATAATTATTAAAAAAAAAAAAAAATCAACAAATAAGTAATTGTATTGTACAACCTGAATCTGTATGAAGTATGTAGTAGGGCCTATGCTTGTTCTGACTAGACTTTAGTCAAGCTTACATTTGTTCTGAAAATATGGAAACAACATTTCGTTGTATCTAAATTTCTTTAGGAAATTGTTATGTCGGTCGTTATACTCTGAATATTTGTCATAATCTATGTATTGTTGTGGGTGTGTAGTTGTGAAAGCAAACATAATTATATAACAAGCTGGGTCTGAAATCTTACAAGCAGCTTTATGCCAACTACACTTAAGTTGGGCTTAGTTGTGATGAGGACATGTAAATATAAAGCTTTTTATTTCTTTGTCATCCAAATTTCTGATGTGAGCTGTTGTGTCGGTCTTTACACTCTGAGTATTTGCCATAATCTATTGTATGACTTGTTGTAAAACCTGACAAATACTTTTTGTACAACCTGAGTCTGTAACAAGTCAAGTGGCTTTGTACCAACAAGATTTTATCCAAACTTAATTTTCATCTGAGAAGCCAAAAAACAGCCTTATTTTTTGTCATCCAAATGCCCTCAGTAATCTATGTCGGTTGTACACTCTCAGAGTCACATATATAGTATATAAGCTATATT